AAATTGCTATTTTTTATTTCTTTTTTTATACTGAATTTCCATACGATGCTGGCTCCAAATCAGTCTATTCCAGTATTTTCTTTGCTACTTCCATGTTTTTCCCCCCAGCTTGTGGCAATTTTCTTCCAATCATTCATAAAATATGATGGCATGTCTATTGTGGCTTGTAAGAATGATTCTACGTTTAATTAATTTAGGCTGTTTCTGATTCCTTTTCAGAGTAGCTTGGGGATAACTGATGAATTGCCCATTTACTCATCAATTTCTATTTCTCTCAGGGAGCTAGTAATTTATAGTTTTTCTTCTTACTATAATGCTAGTTCGTTATAAAAAAATATGGAAAAGTAATGAAAAACCTAGATGCTTAGCCACTCCTTTAGGTTGAAATACAGAAGCATGTTAATCTCTAACATATGACTTGGGCCCAGAGATAGGGCCAGCATATTTAGTTACACTTTTTAGGATAAATAAACCTTCATTACTCGGAAAACTTGGCCTGGAATCTTTATCAAGGTGAAAATGAATCAGATTTTGGTTCAGTTGTGGGACTATGGAAAGTCAAGTAGATTACATGTAGAAGTCTCTGGAATTTACTGTTGAAATCTATAGAAGGACAATGTCCACCAATTGAAAAAGAAAAGGTATATAAAGCAAATCTCCCTTGTGGAATATGGGCTGTATAGAAACATAAAATATAAATAAATAAATCTTCTGGGGATTTTTTTTTGTATGATTTCATTTGAGCCAATGAAGCTTATCCATAAGCCATGTTGCTGATTTGGTCACCAACAGGTTCACAATTAAAATAAAATGCCTGGTATACAAATAAAAGCATAGGTAGCTGCTGCCAAGCATTTCCACTTCATCCTTGGCATTTTTATTTTATTTTGCATTTGGAATTCACTGCCAATTAACTTTGGAGGGCCAAACTTCCATATTATACTTTTAAATCTGAAGGCAGTCTGTTTTCTGCTACCTACTACCCTGTTTCTCCAACAATACGGCCTCCCCCAATAGGAAGTCCCAGCATGTTTTATAGGCATGAAATGAAATTAAGCCCCTCCCCCCAAATTAAGGCCTATATTAAAACATGCGAAATGGGGGGGGATGGGGGGGGCTTGCTGTTAGGAAGTACTTTTGTTGCACACCCGGATATGGTGCTGCCTGCGTTGACCCCGATACGAAGTGCCCCACCAACGCTGAGGTCAACATCCAAGCTGTCGCCGCCCGCCTGCCCGAAGATGCAAAGGGGGAGAATGAAGTCACCCCCGAAAAGACGACCTAGCCATTTTTGGGGGGCTCAAAAAAAAAATAAGACCCGGCCTTATTATATGAGAAACATGGTACCTTCCTTAATGGGTTACCATACTTTAAATGACTTTAAGTATTCTGACCCGTGAAAGAAGATTTTAAGCTCCTCCTCTAGATAGCAAAGTTGAATGCTCACAGAAGATCCACCACAGATTCACATCATTTGAGTGCAAGAATATTAAATCTGCCTCAGCTATCTATTATTCCATTCCAACAGTAAATAAATTATAGGCTGGAAAGGCAATAAATAGCAGAATAGAAGTTTTCAGACCCTTAGTGAAGCTATGCTGTTTCCCAGAATGACCTATCTGCATCATTATACCTTAGCTTTCTTAGTCCCAAAGGGTTTGGCTATATCCAATCAAAATAACAGACAAGGTGTTTAAAAACATTAGATTAATTTATACTGTAGTGATTGCAGTACCTATTTCTGGCTTAGCATTCTTGAGACAAGTTGAACAGATGGGATTCAGAATTAAAAAATAGCTATTCCCAGAATCTCAGATTGATCTTATTTACATTTCCCTGACCCTTGTAAACTGCCTGATTACGTCAGGATGGCACAGCTAGGCAATGCTGAAGGGAAGAATAGAACCTAAGCGAAACATTCATTAAAAAAAAAAAAGGAATGTTTGAAGAGACCCTGTCAGATGAGATGAGCTCAGAGGCACAGCAGGCTTCAGAGAAGTTCTAATATACCAGGAATATCATTTCTATTCTCAGCTGATTTCAATGAATATTAATACTTTGAATAATATTCTTAGAAACTGAGAATAGCCAATATATTAACTGTTTCATAAAATGAAATGAAATAGCCATGCTGGTTAGGAATTATGGAAGTACCACTCACGATATTCCTAGACACCACAAGATGAGGAAGGCTGAAAAAGAATATACCCTTAAATAGTATAAATAGAATTGATCTAGCCAAAATGAAATCTAGCATTAATTTTAAAATTATTTCATGCTGAACTTTCTCTCAATAATACAGTATTAGTTGGGACTGGTATAGATATGAAATAGAGATCTAACTCAAGCTTAATCTATTTTATATTGCCAATTAACTTTGGAGGGGAAAACTTCCATATTATACTTTTAAATCTGAAGGCAATATTTTAAGGGAAATCAAGCTACTGTCACATGTCTTTCACAAAAGCGTGTTTCCATAACCATTCTTATACCGTTTTGATGAGAAGCACCAAATGCACTCAGGCTCCAACTTGAAGGAAGCTACCTCCTTATTCTTTTTGCTTCTATATATTCCTCTTTACCACCAGTCTTTTGGCCCCTGTTTCTTACCTCCTCCTTTTGCTGATGATGGACGGGCAGCAAGCTGTTTCTGAATCAGCACTAATGTCACTGACTTGCTCCCTGTATCATCTTGCAACTTAAAAGTGTGAAAATACAGAGCTTGGTAACGTGTATCTTCAGAGAGTCTCAGTTGTGTAGCTCTATGCCATCTAACTCAAGTGCTTTGCTATATTTAGAAATTCTCATCACAGGCAGATCAACAGGCAGTTGTTGCACTTTAATCTACTTTGAAGGACACTTGGCATAAATCCAGTGCTGCTGCTCCTTGCCTTCTTCCATCTCTTAAAAACACTTGACATCACAGGTGGAAGACATAAGATGATGTAGAAGTCATTGAAGCCCATTTTAGAGCAATATTCCTGACCTTTTGAGGCTTACATGAAAGCTTCTTATTTTTCTCATCACATCTTACAATCTTTCTCTCCTTCACTGACTTTTCAAATTTGTTTTTTTTAACTTTAGAAAGAGATCTTTTTGATTTAGGAATTTTCTAGGACCTTGTTCCATTAATATGGGGTTATGGAAAGTAAAACATAGTTTGAAGAAAGTAACATTTGAGGAAAACCTTGGGAATAGTTCGTTTCAGATAAGATCGTGCATTCTGAACTGGAAATGGCAAGTCTGGATATGAGGTCATATGTCATGGCAATGTGAATGTGCAGGCTCTGTTTACTCATTTCTATTGTGAAATATTGTATATATTTTGTGTTTATCAGGCTATGGATAGGAAAGCTTTTTTGTTGGGCAGATCTATTTCGATCCAGATCCACAATCTGGGATTACATGCAAAGTTGGCTTCTGGGAACTTCCTTCTGCATACTTAGTTGGCTTCTGCATACTTAGAATTAAGAAATCTTAATGGGGAAATCTCTGACCCCATGTTCAGCCCCAGAATGACCTTTTAAGAAACACAATTACTTAATTTATTTAAGGTATAAATCCATTCCTGGCTACCTGCAAGTGATCTTTGCTTCTTCAGCCTAATTTGCAACTTTGTTGTAACTTGGGAAATGCAAAATCTATGCTGAGAGTCATATAATACATAGTATAACTAAGTGAGTGGAATTATATAAAATTATTGTCCAAATCAATTTATTTACTTTTGAAAGAGCATGCACTAATAGCCCCACACATTTTCTATTCCATGTTCCCATTGAATGCTGTATATTATTCTCCCTTAGTGTCATAGTTTATGTTTGCCAGTTGCTTTTCAACTTTCATTATTAAGTTCACTTTGTACAATTTCTTAGTTTGCTCATATGGGACTTAAAATGAATTTATGGAATGGAATGAATTTATGACCAGAATGATGCTAGTAGGAATATTTATAACACTGATTACTTCATAATCAACAAGGATTCTTATCTGATACTTAATTTAGGAAGAAACAAGTGCCTCCCACTAAACATCAGATATTTTTTATGCATAAACATTGTCACAATTTTTTTGTGATCATTTTTTCTTCTGACAGTTGTCCTGGTTTCCAGATATATGTATATGTTGCATGATCTTAGTTCACATATTTGCACCTTGAGGGTTTTAAGCATACACCCCAAAAAAGAACTCACTTTTGCCCAGGAAATTCAGGGAGTTGCAGTTCCAAAGGCATAGAAGAAGGAAGGCTGCTAGTGTCTAATAGTATTGCATACCTGTTGGAGGTGAAAGTAAACACCTTAATTCCGTTTTTCTGGCATTTTCAGAACAGTTGTTACTGTCTTGATCAGGGCTGTCAAACTCCCAGCCCATGGATCGGATGCGTCAAGTGCTGGCCACACTCACGCCTGGATTAGCGAAGGGGGGAAAGTCCCGACGATGCCGCTGTGACCACATGAGTTTGACACCCCTGGTCTAGACCTTTCTAGTAAATATGTATGAAACCAAATGCAACAAAGTTTCTGCTCCTTAGAAATTTTTACACTTGGGTAGACCCTTTGTGTACAAAGAATGTATCTCACCTATTGATATATTTGTGCTGGATTGGAATGATAAATTTGAGTTGGTTCATGGCTGTGAAGTGTAAAGAAAAATGGTATGTATTTTTAATATAAAAGAAACTACTCATGGCTGAACAATTTAATAGATATTTCATTACACTGTGGATTCCACAATGTTGGCATACAGGCAGAATCAATTTTGTTTTCATACCTCTTTGTAAATCTCTTTTCTACCATAGCACATGGATGGTGCTTATATTTATGGAACTAATATGCAAAAAGACTATAGGGTTTATAGTTTTTAAGAAAATATCTGCTTTGTAATATTCGCAATCACATTTTTGCTGGAGCTTCTGCAAACATGCTGTTCTTTTTCATCCCTGGTAATTCATTGTTTGCATTCCGTGGTTTAACTTTTTAAAAATTATTCTTTTGTTCATACAGTGGGAAAGCTTAATGTGACAGCTACAAAAAGTAAGTAGTGTATATTGTATTATCTTGTTTGCTTTTGGATAGATAACCATACCAGTTCCATTTGAAATGGTCATGTGATTTGAGGATAGACTCTTCTAGTATCCAGAAAAAAACATATTGTGTATTCAAATCAGCATGTGTGGGAAGTTAGGATGTGCCAAAAAAAAACCCACGATTAAACTAACTTAATCCTGTATCCTTTGGAGGGGAACGCACAGGATTCCAGATCACAAGGAGATTTCAAATGTTGGTTTCAAAAGTCCTTCTCTGAAGATAATCAGGTTGCATAAATGGATGCAAGGAGTCAGGACAGAGACTAGTTAGTGCTACTGTCTTCTTCCTTTGTAAGTTGAAAAAAATGTGTGAGGCATTTCTCTTTATGTTGGCAATAAATAACAAAATATGTTAATATTAGTGACACTGAAATCGAGGGCAGAGTTAAAGATGAAACTGATGTTTGAATATTTCTGGACTGATTTTATTTTCCTTCCCTCATGCCTAAAGTTTTTTAGTTATTTGTGGGAGAAGCAGCTCCTGATCATGACTGATGTTAAGTCCATAAGATATATTTTAGCAAATTAACTGAATAAGGGTTTATTAGAAAAACAGCGTTCTCTCTTACATCTTTCTCTTCCTTCCTTCCTTTCTTGGTATTAAATGCAATATAGGTAATGCTCTTTTGTTGTTGTTGTTTTTTAAAAAGTCCTCTTGATTTGAATGTCTTGGAGCTAATCTATCCCCAATACATTTTGAAATTATTTAGACCTCTGTTTCTATGTCTGTTCATCTTTGCCTCCATCTGCATAATTCTGTCTCAGTCACTGTCTCTAACTTTATCCATCTCCTTCACTGTCTCTATAATTATCCATCTCTGTCTCCGTCTCCGTCTCTGTCTCATTTACATCATCAGTATTTGGATCTATTATCCAGTCTGTGTCTGCAGCCTGAAGGGATGTAACTGAGACACAAAATGATGGATTTGAACCAAGGCTAATTGTCTGCTCTATTAGGTGTTTAAACAGAGCTCCCTTTGACCTGAGGGAGGCCTTTCAGATGAGGCTTCTCAGTGGAGAGGGCCTTAGTAGCAGCAGACCTGAGCTGAATGTTCATTGACCGGCATCACATCACAGTGTTCTCACTTCTAGATCCAGAAAAGATCTGTCTCCCTCCTCTTCAGAATACAGCCATGCATATTCAAGACCCCTCCCTCAGACAACCCCTTGCAATCACCCTTAGACCTATTTAGCTAGGGTGCAAAGCTCTGGATGAAGGGCATTAAAGTGCAGCAAAGAATTTTCAGTCTCTTTCAGCAGCCATCATTTCCCCCTTCCCTTTTTCCTTCAGGAGCACAAAAAAAGGAAGAGAGCACCCAGGAGCAATCAACATGGAAGCTGCCAGAGACTCTAATGGCTCTGTTTCTTGTACCTGCCACAACAGCCACTGCAGCATTAGTGGCTATTCTGTCACTCACTCTGACTTCCTTTAGAGCTATCAAGCAGTGTGTAGTTGACAACTGGACATGGCAGAAAAGAATCTGAAGAAAGCTGACTTGGCTTCCATCCAATCACTGTCAAATATAGCAAGCCAGATAGGCTAGCCTTAATCTCCTTACCTGGTTTGTTAAAGGTGTGGGCTAAGGAGAGGGTGACAACCGGAAGCATGGTGGACTCCCCTTTATTAAATGAACAGCATTACTCTTCATCTAATCATCTTTTTAAAAATGTGCATGGGCTGCTATTATATGAAGGAATGCAACATAATCTGAGACTGGACAAATGCATGAATATATACATATGTAAAAGTTTTCCTGTCCAATCATATCTGAATCTAGGATGCAGTCCTCATCTCCATTTTTTGGCCAAGGGAGCCAGCATTGTCCAAAGTCATTTTCTATGGTCATGTGGCCAGCATGGCTATACACCAAAGGCACACAGAATGTTGTTACCTTTCCACCAAAGTGATACCTATTAATCTACTCACATTGGATGCTTTCAAACTGCTAGGTAGGCAGGAAGCGGGGCAAGAATGGGAGCTCATCCAATTGCACAGTGCTCAGATTGCAAACCCGGGCTGTCAGCTTTCCAGCTGACAAGCTCAGCATCTTTAACCTCATTTGCCTTTGGAAAAGAATCAAAGAGCACATCTAAATTATGAATCTGAAGTTTTAAAGAGGTATTATTCCATCCAGCATAAAACTGTAGATTGCCAGGACCATCTATTCCTTGTGTGGATGAAGTTTAAATGCATTTGCTCTCATCCACTTCATTATGAATATCAGATATCTATATCAGATGGTTGAATCTATCTGAATGAAAAAGAGAGACATAGAAAGGGTTAGCACCAAAATGCAGAAGTATCAAAGCTTTAAAACCTGGATAGTTCCTTAGTGTATAATAATACACATTAAATAGAGTGAGGAATGAGATAGGGGGACCACCTTCCAAGACCACTTTTCCAATAATGTCAAGCCTGACCATTAAAAAAATACTTCTAAATTCTATCCCATCCAAACGCCCTGATCATCGGATATAATGGATGAAATCCAGTAGTGCTGACATTTTGCCTTTCAACCCTAAAGAACAAAATAAACACATCATTTGTGCCCAGTTATAACCACAGATGATCAAAGTACTTTCTGTCCCCAATGAAATAAAAATGAAGTCAAAGTGTATTAAAATTATCCTGGGTGGTCCAGAAAGTCCGTTGTCCCTCCATTCAAATGCCAATCAACTGCATTGCTGTATGGCATTGGTCTACTTTAAAAAAAAAAAAAAAACCTTCTGAAGTTGTTTTTCCTTCACCACTTCTGTGTGAAGTCTTTTGCCTCCATTAAAATGAATAGGCTCTTGACTAGGCAACATTTTGTGCTGTTTATTTTATTTTTAGATTCAGATATATTTTATTTCTCCAAGCACAAAAGTAGAAAGTAGAAAGGGTTCTGTCATTTTGACTACTAATTCTTGAATAAAAATGCACTCTGAAATAATTTCCTTTTAAATTTATTCTTTAGAAGTGGAAAAAGGAAAAAAGATGGTTCAAGAAAAGAAAGCTATTCCACAAGTTATAAGAAAAGGTAGGGTATTTATTATTTTAAAATAAAGCAATTAATTTGCTTCATCTTTAAAGGGTTCTAAACTGCCTATTGTATTTAAACAAAATGAAACCAATTAATTTACCCTTTGATTTATATGTTAGAAGAAGAGAGGAAAAAAGTAACTGCTGAGAAGAAAGGTGTTCCTGAAATTAAAAAGAAAGGTAAGTTATTTGCATAAGTATTGTGTTACTAGATCGTTGCTGTATTATATAGGTATATGGTTATTTCTGAAGCATTATAAATTTGAATTAAAAAATGAAGTAGTCATAGAACCACCACTTTAGTAAGATGGAGAGTAGAATGTATGTGAATATATGTGATGCTTGTAAAAGGAAGAATAAAGCTTCAATTGCACAATCACAGATGATCTTTTTTGACCGAATTCCATGGACATCTCTGTAGCATTTGGAAAGAGGCTGAGCCCGAAGGTGGGGCCAAATGCATCATCACTCTGGGACCCTATGCCCCTGAAAGAGTCCAGAGAGGTGTGGTGGCCTAGTGGTGAAGATGCTCACTTCCCAATCAGAAGGTTGAGAGTTCAGTCCTAGGTAGCAGCAGCAGATATTTCTCTCCTAGGGTGCAAAGAAAAAAATATCTGCTGTGAACTTCCCATGTAGACATCAGGAAACTATTCTGTAGGGGACAACAATTTAAATGAAGAATACATACATTCATCATGAGATGTAAGCTAAATGTCTGCTGCCACAGAATTCTAAATTAGAGCTGCTTGTTTTAATGTTGAATGGACAGAATGAGTTGAGCCTCTTTTTCAGTTTATTAGCTATTTCTGATTGTATGATCCAAAGCCGTTTTTTCATATTTTAGAAGTAGGAGAAGAAAGAAAGATAATCCATGAGAAGAAAGATGTTTCTGATATTCAAGCAAAAGGTATGCTTTTGGACTGTGAGTTTTTAAAAAAATTATCATTAACATGATAGTTTAACTATAAGGGATTATATATAAATCTCATTGTACATTACATCCTCCATTAGAAGTGTTGTAATCTGTACAGATTATTGAATCCCACTGATGTCAGTGAGTATCTCCCAGGTTCATAACATTCTTTACTTTTGTCATTGACCAGCAAAATTTACTGTCAAAACTAGAATTAAAACCATTTCACTGTTTTAATATAAGAATAACTAAATGTAGGGAATTATAAATATAAATTTGTCATTGGCACATGATATCAATGCCATTAAGTTTATAAATACATAATTTACGGATGCAGTGCTACATAAATCTATGTATTTGGTATACTACACACACACACAGATACACACAGATGTAAATAATGATAATATTGATATAAACATATATGATATAGATAGATGTATCTTTTCCAAGTATGTTCAAATTTAGACTGAATTCAATATTCAATCATTCAAAATAATAGCATACGTTTTTCATAAGCTTGCTAAAGTATGTGATTTACTTTTCCAGCATAAGAAACATCTTTTTTAAATTAATTTTTAGGAAAAAAAGAAGAAAAAAGGAAAACTCCTGAGAGAACGACACTTTCTCTGGTTAAAAAGGCAGGTAAGAAATACTATATATTCTGTTACTCCCTTCAGTGAAATCTGATGACTACGTGAGTGTATTTTTTAGATTTTAAACTGGTGGGTATGCAAATGTTGGTTTTAAAAAAATGTTCTGAATTTAGTATTTTTAAAATAAAAAGTGACTCTTACTTTGGATTTACATTGTGCTTACTTTAGATTTACATTGTGTCAAACTTGAACTTTTAACTTGGTACTTTTTTGTTTTTAATAGTATTCATTATTATAAAATTATTATATCCTTGTATCTATGGCATAAAGTTATTGTCCACCTTTTCTTAATACACTATACTAAGGTATTTTGCTAGCAAATTTTCATAGTAAAAATTAATGAGAATTAGTCAGGGCTCCTACATGGATGAACAATTCTTCAAAGAAATTAATGTTTGTAAAAAGATAAGTATAAACTATTATGACCATAATAACAAAAATATCTTTTATGACAAGTAATTCAGTTTGTGGACTGGTAGTCCAGATATGTTAATTCTTTTAGTTGCATGAACTTTCATCAAAATCTTCACTGAAATTTGGCTATGCTGGGATGCTACTGGGAAGACACAGTTGAAACTTCTTATGAACGACATCATCTCCATACCTAGGGTCTTTTGCAAGAGAAGTAAAGAAAAGGCAACATGGCAGCCATAACTACACAATCAAAGCCCCATTCCCTTTTCACAAATGTGACCCATAAAAAAAGGGGCAGAGCTTCTGTTAGGCAGGTGCAGCTGTTATCTTCATGTTTTTGACCTTTTCTTCTGCTCGTATCTACCCACCCTTGTGCTAATTGCTGCACCCTATTAGCTCCCCTCTGAATAAGATATCAACAAAGAGCTGGGTGGAATTAGATCTAAGTTCCCAAAGTAGAAAGTAAAACTACAGTATAAGAATGAAAATGCATTGCACTCATTTTTCAAAATCAAAAGACATTTTGCATATTTGGGAATTGAGTTCCCATTTTGTTCATACCTATTTGAAATTAAATTCCACCAATCTCAGTAGGCTTATTTAGGAATAAATGTACAATATGTAAGTTTTCATTGGAATAGGAGGATTTTGCAACAGTAACTCATAACCTTATTTTTAATAACAGTTATCCTGATGGTCCTATAGAGAATAGTCCTATAGGATGTTGAAGATGATTTGACTTTATGGTTCTATGTTTTTATCTATTCAGGTTTAGTTTTTACCATTGAGGGTCTGGTTGGTATTGCTCTTAACTTCTGTAAACCACTGAGGGCCTGTATGATCATGGCAACTATAAAATCTGATAAAGAAACATAAATATTTAAAATACCTGTGTAATCCCACATCTCCAGAGGCTTTTCCAGACAATGTAAGTTGAGGAGAGAAATTGTTATGCATTCATCTGTAACATGCCCAGATACTCCTCTAAAACTGTTGTAAGTGGAAAACTCTGGGTGTCCATTCTAGCTGAGCTCTCCTGGAATTTAGCTAGTGTGTATATCAACCTCATTCCCACCCAACCCCCACACACTCATTTACAGTATATTGGGAGAAGGTCATTGTGCAAACAGGATATGACTGAAAGTGCATTGTAATTCCAGAAGTTGATGTATTGAAAAATGGTTTTTGTAGCATTATTTAAATGTCATATGCAGATATTATAGTGTAATGCATGGCATCATGATACTAGGAATATATAAAAATTGATCAGTTTGTATGAAATTATTGTTTCATCGCACAATCCACCAGATGTTCAGATGGGATTCAGCATTTTTGTCTACCTATTGAATCCTTCCCAAGAACCTGAGATATTATTATTATTTATGCAATAATGTGAAATCATAGCTGCCAATTCTTTAAATGTTGTTAGCCTTCATACTCATTGAGTTCTTTCTAAGATTATTATTTTAGGTCACTCTGAAAATACAGAGCTTTAATTATGATAAAATAGTTCAGCTATTCTTTCGCTGCTGAGTTTATGGGTGCACTTTACAAACAAATCAGCTAGCATATTGATATGTACGCAATAAAATGCATAGATTTAGATATGCATATCTGGATTTAATTTTCATTATTGAAGAAAGGAAACATTTATTTTCATGCAAAACCAACTTGGAACTTGAGTTATCAGTTATGAATCCCTAATATATTTAAATTCAAATTATATTATAATATATAAATACAATATTTGCAAACTTTCTTCCTACATAAGGAGCTGTGATAGTGAAGTGGTTAAAGTACAGTACTGCAGGCTAACTTTGCTTGCTGCCAGGAGTTCGATCCTGACTACCTTAAGGTTGACTCAGCCCTCCATCCTTCCAAGGCTGTAAAATGAGACCCAGATTGTTGGAGGAAATGCACTGGCATTGTAAACTGCTCAGAGAGTGCTGTAAAGCACTAAGGAGTGGTACATAAGTCTAAGTACTATTGCTATATATTAATTTCAGCGGTGGTATTCAGCAGGTTCTGACCAGTTCTGGAGAACCGGTAGCAAAAATTATGAGTGGTTCGGAGAACTGACAAATACCAGCTCTGACTGGCCCTGCCCCCATCTATTCTCTGCCTCCCGAGTCCCAGCTGGATCTTCTTTTGTTGCCCTGCACAGGAGAACGGAGCTGGAAAGCGGGTTAGTGGGGTGGGGAGGGAATGGGATTTTAGATAATAATAGAACCCCCTCCCAATAAAAACACTTCCAAACTAAAAAAATATTAATTTCATAGACCTTTTCACTATACAACTAGGTCCTAGGTGAATTATACTTGGGTGTGCAGTAAATACCTATACCAGTACAAAACTCCCAGATGCATAGTTACAGATAACTTGAACCTTCCTTCCTTCTCTTTTGTGTGATGTGGAAGTTACGAGACTTTTGTTGCTACCGAAAATACATCAACTTCAGATAGAACAGAGGAAAATTTGCTCAATTAAAGATTGAAATTATAGCGGACAGCAAAAGTTATATACGGCATGCAATGAAACTAAGAATAAAAACTACATCAAAAAGAAAGGGGAAAAAATGAAATTTAAGAAAATTGCAGGAATAATGGAAAATATTATGCAAAGATGGGCATAATAAAAGGCAAAAAAGGTAAAGATCTACTGGAGAAACCCAAAAACAGAAAATAGGGCATGAATAGACCTGAGAACTATACAGAAATGATCCCATCTCAGAATTAATGATATGCTTGAAGGTTTGGTCACTGGACTACAGCCAGAAAGTCTGAAAAGTAAGGTTAAGGGGCCCTGGAAAACATTGCTTCATCAAAGCGGCAGGAATTGATGAAATACTAACAGAACTATTTAAAATCTGAGATGATGATGATGCCATTAAAGTGCTTCATGTGGTTTGGAAGTAGCTGCTGAAAACATAGCAGTGGCCTAACAGAAAAGATCAATACCCAAAAGGGCAGTGCTAAGAAATGTTCAGACTAGTGAATAGTTGTGCTTAATTCACATGCCAGTAAGATAATCCTCAAGATGCTGCAAACCAGAACTCAGCAGTGCATGGAATAGAAACTGGCAGAAGTACAAGCTGCATTCAGAAGAGGCAGGGTCACCCAAGATGACATTGGCAACTTCTGATGGATAATGGAAGAGGGAGAGGAATTCTAAACAGGCACTCTATGTTAGCATTGCTAATTAGTCAAAGGCTTTTGTGACTGTGTAGCTCTCACATACAAAAATTGTGGACAACACTTAAAAACATGGATATAGGCTACTTCGTCTGCCTCCTGAATAATTTATATGATCACCAGATCACCATCTCTTTATTATGTGTAGAATTTATTACAAGAAATACTGTCCTAAAAGAAGCAGAAATTGGGATCTTATTTGCTGGAAGGGACATCAGAAAGTTCAGATATGCTAATGATACCGCTTTAATGCCTGGAAACAAAGTGAGATAAGCAAGGAGGAGATAGAGGATGTCTTGTTCAAGGATACTGCACAACCTGGCTTTCCACTCACCATGATAAAAAAAAACCCCCACAAGATTATGTCAATAAGAAACGCTAGTCAAATGTAAATAAATGGAGATGAAACTGAAGTGGTTCCTTATTTTCTTCAGTTCAGAAAGTCATGGGAAAGATCGCCATAGCTATGAATGAAAAGAAATTACAGCAAAAAGGATCTAGACAAAATATTAAAGTGAAGAAAAATCATGTTGATAACAAATGTACTGATTGCCAAGGTCATTATTTTTCCAGTTGAAACATATGGTTGTAAAAGATGAACCATCAGAAAAACCTGAATGAAGAAAAATGACGCTTCTGCATTGTGGTGCTGGAGAATATGGTTGAGAATATCTTGAACCATAAGAAGAACAAATAATTTGGTAGCAAATATAGTAAAACTAGACTGCACCTTAGAATACTGGTTGTGGCTTTCCAAGTGCATTGGGTCATAGAGCATCCCAAAAGCTTCCAGGTCTGTGACAGTTTTGCATGTGCTTGCTGGGCCCTATAGCTTATTAAACCTTCCCATTGGGGTGGAGAACAAATTGAAAGTCTCCAGAGACATAGCAATAGTTGGCTGTAGCTTCCTGGGGTTTGGGAAATGGAGCAGGCCTGAGCCTCTTGGGCTTGGTTTCTGCATCATGAAGATTTAAGTTCCATTTCAACACCCCATGGAAAGATATCATCTTCCCTCCATCCCTTTCACCTGAATTTTTTCCTGTTGGCTTCCCCACTGACTTTCTGGGGAAGCTGGCAGAGAAAATTGAAAATGGTGATCACATGATTGCAGGCCACTTGGCAACCAGTTGTAACAGCAAACATTACAGTAAAATGTAATATAAAGCAAACAGAGTTTTATTTTAGAGGCCACTCAGCTCTAATCAGGTTACTACACCCAGTCACCTAAAGTAAATTAAAAGTTACCCTCACAGAAAAAAAGGAAGTATTTAGTTTGGGACAAGTTGTTTTTCTTAGTTTTTTTCCCTTATAGAATGCTAAAATGTGATCACATGACCGCATTGTGCGATGCGTGTGCATGTGTATGTGTGCATATTTCGTGTTT